TTAGTCCCCATCCCCCATTTCATCCATCCCCCCCACCTACTGCCCCTCGTGTAACATCAGTTTGTTCTCTATAGTTAAGTGTCTGTTTTTTTGTTTGTCTCTGTTTGTTTTGTTTCTTAAACTCCACACATGAATGAAATCATATAGTATTTGTCTTTCTCTGACTGACGTTTCGCTTGGCATGACACCCTCTAGATCCATCCATGTTGTTGCAAATGGCAAGAGTTCATTCTTTATGGCTGAGTAATAGTCCATTGTGTACATATACCACATCTTCTTTATCTGTGCATCTATCAGGGGACACTTGGGCTGAAATTTATTTCTCATTCAACTACCTCAAACAGGTTCGAGTCAGTAAGCGGCTGAATTCCATATTGTGGCTCAGGGACACAACTTTCTAACTTGGTATTTTTGAATTGTTCAGAGTGTATTGTCATCTACATTATTGAGGTTGGCGCTGTGTCCAGGATCTGACTGGTGGAAGGGAAAGGGAACACTGAGAAAATATGCTGTCTTAGAAGACCGAGTCCTGAAGTGGGATTTACATTCATCTTCCTTCAAAGAGAACCTGGTCACATGACCCTTGGACTGCAAAAGAGGCTGGGAAATGTAGTCTACTAATGAAAGAATAGATTTTGGAGGGCAGCTAGAGACTTTATCACTGGCAGTTTTGTTGTATATTTGTTTAATCCTGTCTGAAAAAAATGTTAACACATTAATCTCATGTTAAAAGAATGACATGTCAATAATACATTATATATTAATAAAAAAATTTTTTAAAAATGACACGTCATTAAAAGTGTCACCAGAGTTTGTTAAATGGACACACCTCAGTTTAGTAGCAGATCCCAAATGGAAACCAGATTTGACTCCCATCCCGAAGTTCCTTCTAATTAGTGTAAGACCTACTTTACTATCTTGAAGAGTTAACGAAATTGGAGCTTTTTTCTTCCTCAGAAGATAAGCCCTACTGGAAATATGCCTATCTGGTGAGATGTTGAAGAGAGAATTATTTCTGAAAACTGGAGTATGGAATTAATTTGATAAAATAGTTGTGTAGCCATTTGGAAGAAGCAGCATGCAGAATGTAGACCATATTGCTGGTGTAGTTATTTTAGATGCTAGCAAATGAGAGAACATTTTGATGACTCTCTACAGAACTAGATTTTAGTTGTTAATGATGGGACACCATTCTCTGAATTCCACATCCACTGAATGGGCTTACATTAAAATATTCCCTCTTTCTTCTTCAGATACTGGCATATCAGCGTGACTGAGGATGTATAGGTAAGTTTCGACCACTTATTTAGTGAATGTGGACAGATAATTTGGATAACGTAGGCTTTTACATATGATTTTTTTCAATAGGCTTAAACAATTGTTTTGTCTCATTTCAATAAATATAAAAATTTCTGTTTCAATTCATCATTGCAGTCAGAGCTAAAGAAGTTAGATCTGTAATAGGGAGGAAAATTCCTGATGATTCCCTCCAACTTCTCTTTATCCTAGGATATGGGGAATACATGTAAATTACAACTCCCATAAATACCATATTGCCATACACTTATGTCCTTTTCCTGAAAATACATATCATACATGGCTCTTGTAAAATCTTTCTCTAGATCTCTGGACGTCTTTCAGTAATGCTGTAGGACTGTCTCTAAATATCCATAAAGGATCATGGATTCTATCGTGCTTGATGGCAGAAGGCAGTCACTTCCCTGGGAACTGGCAGTCTACACCTCCGTAACTGGGATATTTCCTCTATGGCTTTTAAAGTGAAGAAGAATGCCTAAAGCAGGGGTGTCATGATATTGGCTCCCCGCAGGGCAGGCTGCTGGGGGACATGTGTCATTGGCTCCCCCCCTGCTAGGAGATGTGAACCACTCATGATGCGTAAACATGACTCTGCCCCACAGGGACAGTGAGCAGGGGGCAACGTCTTCCTAAACAAATATCACTTTTCCAAATAAATCTGCAAAACTGTTACGTTCATAGGAAGACTATCCATGCTAAGGCTATTGACTTACGAGTTGAAGAAATGAGGCCATACGGTTATTATTAAAAAATAACAAAAAATACTTATTAAACGCACACCTTCTGATTAGTTTCGAAGATGAATTATTGACATCACGGGAAATTGTTAACTGAATGTGACTGAAAGAAACCTTTGCGACACTGGCGAACGGGACTTAAAAATGTCCATTATGGTTCATTAAGTGTGGTCAGGGATGCATTTCTTTCATCTGAATCTTCATGTGAGTATGTGACACCATTTTTTGACCATGACGGCCTTAAAAAGCAAGATATTGAAATAAAGTGGACTTAGAACTCAAATATTCAAAGTTGTACCTTTGGGCAAAAATCACCTTTTTAAATTTTTTTTAAAAAACTGTATTTATTGAGAGAGAGAGAGAGAGGGCGAGAATGAGAAGGAGAGAGCATCTAAAGCCAACTCCAGCATGGAGCGCAGAGCCCGACTTGGGGCTCGGTCCCAGCACCACGAGATCAGGACCTGAGCTGAAACTAAGAGTAGGACGCTCAACCCACTGAGCCACCCAGGGGCCCCTGCGCCAAAATCATTTTTTAAATATAAAGTGATAGTGTACTAGAGGGAAACATGAAAGTGATTCTCTACTGATAGGCAACTGTTACCCTCTGTTAATTGCATATTCTCTGCCAAGTCACTAAATAAACAATAGAAGAACAAAAACCATTTGGAGAAATCTGGATGGATTACCACTGGCTAATTTGAGCTGGCTTACATTTCCCTTGTAGTACAGATATAAGCTGCATCACACACAGAAACACTGAAATGGTTAAACTTGCCAAAGAAGTCTGTGAATGCTATTAAATCGACTTGTCTCAGTTGGAGCAATTAAACCCCTTAAGTTGTTTCTGTATCTGAAATGGTACCGAAAGTGCCAATGGTTTAAAAATAATTGTTTTGAAATGAACATGTTTAATGGAAGTCATTTTTGGAATATGAAACTTAGAAATGCTTCCTAAAGATTTCATGTCAGAGGCAATGGAAAAGACCACATCCAACTGTGTACTCTTCTTCCAATTAAATGTCACAAAGATAATCCTGAATTAAACACGTTCAGACTAAACCATGGTTCCTTCCAGATCTGGTTCTCTTTCAGCAGTTCCCATCAAGGGAAATGTCTGGCTGTAGATCTAGGATGACAACTGACAGCAGCTAGAAAGGCAGATGAAGAAAACATGGATATGTACAGCAAATGTGTGTTCATTTTCGCCATGTGGAATGCAGTGGGGACAGGCAGGTAGAAATACTGTCTGGGCAATTGGGAGTGAAGACTGGGGAGATGGATTCCGACTAGGTATGTGGATTTGGCAGTCAGCTACATAAGACTGATAGATGAAGGGAGACAAGTGAGCATTTGACAGGGAGAGAAGAAAAAAAGGGAGAGAAGTCAGAGAACTTTACTGTGCATCACAAAATCAAATGGAGTTTAACAAGAAAACAGCAGTGTCCAAATCTCAGCGGATGAGGAATGACAGAAAGCCACTAGATTTGTGTCCTTGGAGAGTTTCAGAAACATGGTGAGACTCAAAGCCAAATTACAGTAGTTATAAAAAGGCGTGTGCGTGCACGTGTTCTAGTCCTTGCTTTATCTCTTAACTAGTTGCTTTATGCAAGTTGTTAATGTCACTAGACTTCAGCTCTGTCGTCTTTAAAATGAAGGGATTCTTTAGAGAAACTCATCCAGACTCTAAGAAGTTGAAGTAGACATTTTCAATGAATGAAATGAACGAAAGAATAAATGAATAACACTGTATCTATTTCCTACGAGTTCTAGAAAGAATTTCTGTAGATAAAAAGTGGTTAATATCCATCCTTCACTCTAAGATGTCTTATTGTGAAAGGAAATTAATCAGTAATAGATTATTTGGTGGAAACTGTATTATCAAGAAAAGGTTTTTCAAAACAATTCTTGATTATTTTATCATTCGATCCTATAAAATGATACTTTGTAACATTGCAAAGCAGACAGGTACAGGAGACCCTTGGCACTTAATGTTCTGACACGTTTGTTTTGATTTTTAGTGAATGTACAAGACAAGCAATTCTGCTCATATGGATTTCTTATCCTTAATTTTTTTTTTTTTTTTTAGGTCATAGCATTGGTTACTTTGGAATTCCATAATGTGCAAGAAGGAAAGCATACTGCATTTCCAGCATTGTCTGGGTAATCATTTTCTTATACATTGCCAAAGCTGGTTTCCCTTCCCCCGTTTTTCAACAAAGTCAACCTACTCATAAAACCAGTAGGTGACTTAAGGACCCAGGGGTGAGAAAGTAATTGAACCTCAAGTCCAGATTTTCAATATCTGTGATGAAGCATTTTGAAAGCCTGACGAAAGCCCGAGGACAGTCGAAAGAGTCTATGAATTTTGAGTGAACTTCTTCAATATAAAGTTATTACTATTTAATGGGTATGTAGCCTGTCCTTTTTAGGGTCTTTTCTTCCCACTTACAATCTTTCCTCCGGAAGTTTATTTACAAATTTATTATGTTATTTTTATTATACATTAAAATACATAGTATACATACTGTATCCTATTAAAAACTAGGGGAACCTAGGTGGCTCAGTGGTTGAGTGTCTGCCTTTGGCTCACATCACCCCCCTGCTTGTGCTCTCTCTCGCTGTCAAGTAAATAAAATCTTAAAAAAAAAAAAAAGCTAAATTTATTTTCTGGGATATTTACATTAATGAAGTTCTATGCAGAGCATTTTCTCAGTGGACTTGAATTATGCAACTGGATTCCAGAATTTTCTGACAGTCATGCCAACTGCAAATGGCTTTCTCTGGTATCTAAAAGAAGCTATTCTTCGAGGAAGCTGATGGCCCGCTAGATACGTTCTTCAAGCCAACCAGAAGGGTTCAGCTGTCTTTCCTGAATGTAACATATCTGACATACGATCAGGGGACAAATCAAAGCGGAAAAAAAATAATTTTAACAAGCAGAATTCATCCCAGTATTTAAACAATTAGAATTTTACTTTATTTCAGAATGTTTACAGTTGAAAAAAAAGGTATTTACTAAAGCCACATTATTCATATGAACAAAACTTTTATAGCAAAACCTTGGTACATGAGCATTAGTAATCTGAATACTATATGGATATAGAAGATATTTAAAAAACGGAAATGATGTATTCCAAAGGCTGTAGTAGGCACAATATATATGCTTGTATTGGGTCTGCAAGCATTATACTAAAATTCATTATATGTGATCCAAGAAGTTGCAGATTTTTCAGCACTATGTACTGAAAAAGTTACAAAGGAATATCATATTTCTCTTATGTTGAAAAAGCAGGTACTCAATACTACAAAATAGGAGCAGCAAGTCAAACCAACAAAGAATTCAGGTTTTGAAAGAAGTATTACAGCTATGGCTTTTTAACGTTCATCAGTTGTTGTTGTTGTTGTTTTTTGAGACTGGTTAGAAGTCTGGCAAGTGAAAAAGAAAAGTCTATAATACAACATTAATGACATAATTTACAAGGCATTTGATATTCAACGGGTTCAAAATTGGGAAACAAAGAATTGAGCTTGATCTTCGAGAAAAATTTCGAGGTACTACATACATCTGCTTCCTCCCACCCATGTTTTGGCATAAAAACCTTTCTGCAGAGAAGTAAAAGTTTTCCGTGTGACATGGCAGAAGAATATTTTAAGATAAATCATTACAATCTACTTTCAGTGTTTAGTAACTGTAAAGAAAACAAGACTTGTAAGGGCCAAGTAACTAGATATAGTCCTTGGGATGGAATTTTCTCATGTTTTGTAAAAAAATGGGTTGAAATATGTATTCATGCTGATGATGTATCCGTGCTGATAAAGGTGAACATTTGGTAAAAATGAGAAAAAAATGTTAGATTTTTCAGAGCATAACTAGTACTACATCATATAGAAATTGCCTAAAGGTAAAAATGTACATCTTAGATTCTCAGAGGTTTTATTTTCCAAGTAGCAATTAAACCTAAGTGTCAAATTGAATCATGCAGTATTTTTACCTATCAGCTACCGTGTTAATAATATCGGGGGACAGAATACTATTTTTACCCCCTTAAAATGTGTAATGCTCACAAGTCATCATGTGGAACTCAAATCACACACAAAGGCAAATCATGAAAACACGCTAAATACTTCAAAATGCCCAGGAAGACATGCCAGAAATGATGCTGTTTCTAGAACACAGAATTGTTGGAGGCCAAAACTAAAGCCGTAGGTGTTACTGCCACTTCTAGGTGTTTAATGCTGCTTTTTTTTTTTTTTTTTTTTTTAAAGTGGATGCAGGTCAGGGGGTTCGGTCTCTCTGGAGGTTAGCCCATAATTTCTGCAGGTTCAGTGACCAACTTGGATCCATCCCAGACTGTCTTGAACTCTTCTGGAACAGGAAATTCTCTCTGGAAAAAATGCAGAAGAACGAATTTACTTAGAGGAAAGGCTGATTTGTATCACATGGTGGACAAAGACATTTTATGGAATCCAAACCTGTGTTGTGGCGAGGTCTTCCGGGTTCCGTGGAGATTTGCATCATTGCGTGTCGGGTCTGTGACTGTCTGCTAGCATCATCATTAAAGCTAGAATCTACTATGAACCAGGCATTCTTCTAACTATGAGATATATATGGGCTCCGTTAGTCTATAGCCCCAGAAGCTGGGTGTTCCTGACATGCCATCTACGGGGCGCAGGTCTGAGAAGTTGAACAGATGGCCGAAGATGGTATGGCCATAAGCAGTCAGACTTGAAGCCAGACAGCCTCTCAACCCACTCTCCGCCACATGCAAACTTGCCCAGGATCATCTGGGGGAGCCTGTTAAAATGCAGATTCTGATTCCATAGATCTGGGGAAGAGAATGGCAATCTGCATTTCCAACCAGTTCCGAGGGGACACTGAGGCTGCGGATCCTAGTCACACTGACTAGAAAGGCTTTGCTCTGGCGTTCTCTGTAGACTCTCCAATGAACTATGAAGTTGTGCTTTGGGTTGTATACCAATGTGTTACCCTGCATCCTACCACCTCACTCCTCCCATTGGAGTAAGACACGCATGAGCATCACAGAGGGAGAGAGAGGGTGGGGGCTGGCGGGGGGGGGCGGCAGGGGGGCAGAGCCAAAGTAAAAGTAGTTTGGAATCTCTCCACTCCCCAGAAAGTGGTTCTGCAGTCATTTAAGAAAAGGATCACCGAGGAAGCTGGGAGGCAGTCCCCTTGGCCCCGGCTTCTGGGCCCTCCTGGGATGTTATGTGCACACAGCGCGGCTGAAACCCCAAGTGTCTGATAAGCTGTGTCTCTGCTCCTCCATCAGCGCGATGCCATCTTGCAGTGGAACCCACACACGAGTACGTATTTTCTTAGATGTGGGATCCACCTGCCTCTTCTGGAAGTAAACAAGGCTTGGTACTTGCTGTCAAGTACCAGGTAGAGAATGCCCCAGAGTGAAGGTATTTCTTTGACAGCTAACCGTACTACAGATAGCCGTTCCCCATCTCTTTTGGTGGTGAAGTGACAGTAATATGATGACATTCTTCTCTGGGTGACGGACTTCCTTCAGGATGAGTCCTCCCCACCACCCACTCCCAGATTACAAGGTCCATGGTAGAACCTCTGCCTGCTCCCTACTAGCTCCCACTAGAAAATGTATCAAGAGGACCATGGGATGAGGGCACAGGATAACCTACTGATGGGGGAAGACTCCTTTTTCAGCATAAAAGCTCAGGCGTTGACCCATACAGGGGATCTGGAGCTTGGCCCTGCGGTGGAATGCCCGGAGAAGCTCTACTGAGCACAGATGCCTGGGACTGCGCCCAGGGATGCTAGCTGACTTAGTCTGGAATGCCGGTCCAGACCCATGGCTTCTCTCAGCGGATCCAGCTCCCATGTAGCGGGGCCTTCTGCTGGAACAGCTGCAAAGGCAGGGACCAGCCTAACATTTGGCTCTCCCGTGCAAAGCTGCTCTGTATCAGCTCTAGCTGCTCAGTAATTTTTAGGTAGAGAAGGTGAGAGGGCTCTTCCCAAACTCGGGGTTAGGTTAAGCAAATAGCCGCGAAGCGTGGCTCAGTGTTGGCAGGTGAGAGAGCATTCGAGCACGGTTGCTGTCTGCCTAAGGATGCGGCTGGTGACTGGCCCACAGGCTGATGGGGGTGCCTTCGAAGTCACTTCTCCCATCCTTCCCCGGCTCACTGCCCCTTCCAGAGTCAGAATCAGAGGGAATCGCCTCTGGGTTTATCTGCACGTCCAAGAAGGGACAGCGAGTAGGAAGTAATGACTTGCTTCCAGAGAGCCGCAGCTAGCAAGTCCGCCACACTGCGTGATGCAGAAGATGGATACATTTGGACTTCCTTCTCTCTTTCTTTCTTTCTTCTTTCTTTCTCTTTCTTTCTCTTTCTTTTTTTTTTTTTGTTTTTGTTTGCTTTTTAAAGATTTTGTTCATTTATTTGCGAGAGAGCGAGAGTAGGAGAGCACAAGCAGGGGGAAGCAGGCTCCCTACAGGGGGATCCCGATGGGGGTCTCCATCCCAGGACCCTGGGATCATGACCTGAACCAAAGGCAGACTTTTAACCTACTGAGCCACCCAGGTGCCCCTGGATTTCCTTTTCAACGTGGGAGGGTATCTGCATGCTTCTCCTAGAAGCTGCTTTGTTGCAGGAGAGGAGGCCCAGAAAACAAGTGTGGCCAAATGACTTAGGCTGGGGGTCTCGGAAGGGCTGGATGGACTGCTGGCCTCGGAATCCCCCAGGATGCCTATTAAAATACCGATTCCCCAGACCCCACCCGAAGCCTCCTGAATCCAGCCCCCAAGGCGCAGACTCTGGGAGTTGGCATTGCCTTGGGGCTTCTCGGCGGGTCCTTCCGCTGAGTTTGAGAACCCCTGACCCAAGTATACCTACAGAAATAGGTCGACTTACTATCACCCCCTCGCTCGAATTTCTCCCTCGTGTTTGCCTCCACCATAGCAAAGGACAACCTTCAGTCCTAAATACCGTGACCTCAGATGCGGGAGGTCCTATCTGACCAAGGCTAGCCCGTGAGGTCAGTTATGAGTACGCTGCCAGGACAATCACAAATCGAATTCCTCTCGTGCCTGCGCATCAACCCACCAACGAAGCTCCCAGGCTGGGAGTCAAGGAATCAGTCTCTGAGAACGCAACTAAGGGAGGCTCCAGAGAAAGTCCTCAGCTGCTTTGAAAAGGTACTTACGTAATCTCCATCCTGAGGAATAAGGACATTCATTTCAGAAGACTTGGCGCTCACGATCTCACAGCCCAGGGCATGCTCACTGAGGTATATGTGGCAGCCTTCCGTCTTATTGATGGAAATGGTTGGCACTTTCCCCATTACCTGAAACAGGCAAAAGAACGGCCTGGCACCGACATACATAAAAACAGCACAGTCCGTGGGCCGCGGCTCTAGGAAGGGCGAGGTCAGCGCTGGAGAGGGGCGTGAGTAGCATCGTCTCTAGGCTGAACCGGTGGGTGTCATTTGGGGACAGAATGAAAGGATCACACAAAGGGATTCTCAAGCCTCAGGGTCTCTTTTCCTGAGACCAAGGGAAGGGATTAATGCGAAAACAGCAGCTAAGTGTTCAGAAAAAGTCTCACAACCCTCTAGTGGATTTGAAACATATATTTGATTTCACGGATAAAAGTAACAAGACGCATTTGCTTTTCTTTGCTCAAAATGTTAGTTCTGACAAATCTATGAATCTTGGGTTAAAACAAATCCTAATACTGTCATTTCAGAGTAAATACATTATTCTGTAATTGAGTAGATTTTTTTTCTTGAACCTAAATAAGAAACAGTACGGTTCTTTTCATAGAAATCTTTCGCCAGATAAAAATCTCACTGGCTCAATGTGAAGCTTGAGTAAGACAATGAGTGTCTAAGTATTTTGAAATGTATTAATTGCAGGAGCCAGAAGTGGGGACGTGGTTCACGCCACTCATTGCATGGATAAACAGGACCAGAGACAAATATAGACATAGACAAAGAATAACCGCCTTTATATTGTTTACAAATATCTATGTGCTATAAAAATTCGGTCCCGTTTCACATTTCCTTTTGAACAGGTTTCAGACATCCCCTCTCCCCCAATCTCTATAGGGGCCAACTGTTCCCCCAATGACCATATTACAACTCTATGATTTTCCTTCTTGTCATGGTAATTGACGTGATAAAGACCTCTCCTCTTTCACGCCAAAGAAAAGGCTGGTTTGCAAACCCAAGGGGCAACTCCCGTTGATGGGGCAGATGATGTAAGGAATTCCTTAGGGGGAGTCTAGCCAGGTTGCCACACTTCTCTGTTTTCTCCTCTCTCCATAGAAACTGGACAGTGAGTTAGAAATGAGGCCCAGGGCCCAGGAAAAAAAAAAAAAAAGGCAAACGTAGTTCAAGGTCAGGTAAGCCCAGGGCTTTGCCATTAATACACGACTACAGTAATAATACACGTATCTGTATTTCAAGAATGTGTCAGCAGTAATGTTTTGGTAATTCCTGGATTTGTTTATCTTAGAGTGAGGAAGAGCATCTACACACTGCCCAGAGTGGTACGGGGAGCGAGGCAAGACGAGAGGAAGGATAAACTGCCTTGGGTGATTTGTTCGTGAGGCAGAACAGGGACACGTGAGGCAAGTGCATGACGCTAATCCACTTTATTTATACTTACATACTGCTATGCTATATTAAAAATGCTTCAATACCCCACGGATCTGAAAGTCTGAAAAAGCAACAGCAGACCTTAAAAACATCGCCCTGATAAACGGTGAGAATGGTCTTTTCCACAGCATTTCGGTCAATGCTGCATGAGACGAGCTTATCTCCACACTCTTGGCCCCTGGTGGTCTGGGAACACTTTGAGAACAGAGCTGGTTTCTTGTCAAGAGAACTGGGCCAAAGAGTATCTCCTCTGCTGAGTGACAGGTGAGGTGTGACCTTGCCCAAGCCAATGCTCTAGCATGTAATACGTTCCTAGATTAGTTAGGGTTTTCGGAAATTTGTTTCTCTATAACAAGTTTTTTTTAGGGGATGCCTGGGTGGCTCAGTTGGTTAAGCGAGTGCCTTCGGCTCAGGTCATGATCCCAGGGTCCTGGGATGGAGTCCTGTGTTGGGCTCCCTGCTCGGTAGGGAGTCTGATGCTTCTTCTCCCTCTGCTGCTCACCCTGTTTGTGCTTTCTCTCTCTGTGTCAAATAAATAAATACACTTTTAAAAAAGTGTTTTTTTTTTTTAAAGATTTTATTTTAAAGTAACTCAACACATACTGTGGGGCTTGAACCCACAACCTTGTGATTAAAAGTCACATGCTCCAATGACTGAGCCATCCAGGCGCCCCTATTTCTCTATAAAAATTTAAAGAATTTCCATGTTATACTTAGTCTCTTCTCTCCCTCATCATTTGCCCTTTTTTTGAGGGTAGTTTGCCAAAAACAGAATAACTGGCCCAAATCATGTGAACTTTGGTGCATGCCCTTTTTCTCCTTTCAATCTTTTAAGTAATTGAGGTAAAATCTGCAATCATAAAATTCACTTTTTTTTTTCTTAAAGATTTTATTTATTTGAGAGAGTGAGCAAGCAAGTAGGAGCAGGGGAGGGGCGAGGGGGCAAGGAGAGGGGCAGAGGCAGAAGCAGGCTCCCTGCTCCGCCAATGAGGAGGGGCTCGATCCCAGGACCCTGGGATCATGACCTGAGCAGAAGACAGATGCTTAACCAATGGAGCCACCCAGGCGCCCCTCCAATTCACTTGTTCTACATGTACAATTTAATGATACTTAGTAGGTTTACAGAGCTGTGAAGCTCTCCTTTCGGTTCTAGAATATTTCCATCACTCCCCAGATATCCCTAATGCCCACTTACAGTCAATATCTGTCCTTACCCGGAGGGCAAACACTGATTTCTGTTGTGTGCAGCCCTTTTGAAACAATGTCTTAAATGTCTTAAACAGGCAATGACATTCACTTGGTTTGAACACCCAAAACCTTGAAAAGTATTCAATAAAATACCTCTCTCACCTCTGAACCCTGCTGTCAAGTTCCTATCCCTCTTGGACCAGCTATCTTGAGTTATCTTGGACAGATAACCATGGCATATCCTTCCAGATTGTTTTTATTTATTTATTCTTCTTCTTATTTTTTTAACCGGATTGTTTTTAGAACACATGCCCATCCTTAAGAAAATCAGGATGTATTTCAAACTTAGAAACATAAGAAATACACCAAATACTTAAACATATATGTCAAACAGCTTTATCAGAGTTTAACATTTTGGCTTTTTGGCCTTTTTTTTAGGACAGGTATCTTACAGCATGGTTAAGTCCTCCCTGTACCATCCGGCACCTCACTCACTCCCTTCTCTCTCCCTAGATGAAACGGCTCTTCTGAATTTTGTGCTGGCCATTGACACCAGGACTACCCCCGAGTCAGGTGAGCTGGAGCCCTCATAAGCCTATTTTCTTTCTTTTTAAGTTTTTATTTAAACTGCAGTTAGTTAACATACAGCGTGATATTAGTTCGGGTCCTCACAAGTGTACTTAACAGGTGTGTATTGTTTTGCATGTTTTCAATCTTTACATAAAGGGACACGTTGTCTAGTGCCTGCCATTCTGTCTTCTGTCTTCATTGCTCAGTGCTGCTTTTTGAGATCTACTTATTTTTAGTCATCTAACTACAGTCATGTTGGTACATAAAACTACAGTGATTTTATCTTATTTATTTCTTTTTTTAGAGCAAGAACATGCAAGTGGGGGCAGAAGGGGCAGAGGGAGAGGGAGAATCTTTTTTTTTTTTTTAAGATTTTATTTATTTATTCATGAGAGACAGAGAGAGAGAGAAAGAGAGGCAGAGGGAGAAGCAGGCTTCCTGCTGAGCAGGGAGCCCGATGCAGGACTCGACCCCAGGACCCCGGGACCATGACCTGAGCGAAGGCAGATGCTCAACCATCTGAGCCATCCAGGTGCCCGGAGAGGGAGAATGCGATGCGGGCCTCGATCTCCCGACCCTGAGCCAAAACTGAGTTGGATGCTTAACCAACTAAGCCACCCAGGTACCCCTCTTCTTAGATCGCTTTTAAAAATGGTTACATGGTAACTATTTTTGTCTAGAATTCAGGAATTTAGAATTTTTAAGTAGACATATCTTTTTGGATAATTTCTATTACTTCTCAATTTAGAATTATTTCTCCCTCCAGAAATCTGATGAATATTTAGAACTGTTTTCTTCTACTTCTGTAGAGCTTCATATTTTATACGTCATTCAACTGGTTTTTAATTTTGAACGTGATATATTTTCATTGAAAAATGCTGACTCCTGGGGCACCTGGATGGATCAGATGAGAGTATTTCCAGGATACTTTTCACCTGGCTAAATAAAAAGGTGTTCTCACCTCGGTCACAGAATATGATTTCTGTGACTTTGCTGGCGGGGTGCGGGGGATGTTGGTTAAAAATGATGTGAAGTGGGAGAAAGCATGGATCTTTGATGCAGAAACTTCCAGTACCCAAAAGAGTTCTTCAGAAATTGTGGCCTCATTATTAGGTTTATGTGAGCCGTATTTCTCCTTGAGGAACTGGACTTCTTCTGATGAGTGACGTCCTTAAAATTTTTATGCATGATACTTCGGGAGGAGCAGGACTGTCCAATTAGTGGATATATGTGGTTGGCAGAAACGCTAAGTTGGGAGGTGGTTTACAGAACACAAGCTTCATGAGGGAGAGGATGTTTGTCTCGTTTGCTTCCTGCTATTTGTAGAGATGAGAGCAGAACCCGCACATCAGCCGTGTTCAGTAAACATCTGGCAAATGAATGACCGAGGGCATGCTCTATGCTATGGCTCACATTTTAGGACCTAAAGCAGGAGCCCAGGATGGTCGAGTTTCCCGTTTCCACGGTGAAGACAACGATATGGTAAAGGCCTGGGAGGGCCTGCTTGGCTACCCTCTCCAAAGTGGCTCTTGTCCAGGAGGGGGATTTGGGAAGCAACGGGAGCAGAATGGTTAGGGGGCAGGGCACCTACACAGACGCGCTGCAGAGAACACAAGCACCTGGAATGGGAAAGCGTCACGGGTCCCCACAGAGCCTGTGCGACAAGACCACTGGGAATCTGGGCTGCAGAGGACTGAGACCCCACCCCCCAGCTAACCTTGTGTTTCAGGGCAGGGAACTCGGGGTCAGAGGTGAAGCCAGCCGCCCAAGTGCACTTGGTGGGTGAGGACAGAGCTGGGGCTCGCCTGCCCACTGCATTAACCAGACACACAAACCAACGTCTTAATTAGCAGCGAGTGAAATGTAAAATGTCCACTCGAACGCACTCTAGTTAAAAGTGACAGCAGTAAAAAGCCCAGTGAAACAAGAGGGAGAGATCTGTAAAACCAGAATCCAGTTTTAACCAACGTTATCAGGAAACATGGGATCGTAAGGGGTTAATTAACAATACTAAGAGAGGAGCACCAGGCTGACTCAGTGGGTAGAGCATGGGACTCTTGATCTCGGGGTTGTGAGTTCGAGTCCCACGGTGGGCATAGAGATTACATAAAAAAAATCTTAAAAAAAGAAAAAAACAGTACGAAGAGAGTGTAATGAAAGGTGGAAGTTAGAGTTGGCCAAAGGCAGGAGGTCCTTTAGCTTTTGGCATATTGTAAAATCCCACTGGGTTAAATCAAAATTAACTAAAGGCATGCACGTTTTCCCCTAGTTTGCAAGTTCAATTCCAAACCTCCTTTCCAGGTTGTTGGTCTGATTACCTCACTGACTTCCGAAAAACTCCTCCACCTCCTTACCCAGAGCCAATGCTCCCTGAGCAAAGAAAATTCTCTTCGGGATGGTGCTGTTAGGCTGGGAGCATCTCTTAGTATCTGTGTTCATTCATTAGTGGACGCCTCCCAGTCACCACTTCCCCAAACACTTATTGGACACTGGCTCTGTGCAGGGGTGCTGTGCCAGTTTCTGTGGCTGTAAAGACGAATTGCGTGCCCCTGGAACAGGCCTGGTACACAGCGACTGCGGTGCAAGACGGGATGTGTTGTAAGAGACTGAAGAAGAGGAATTAACACCGTCCAAGAGAGGGCCGGATGACAGAGCTGTGTCTGATGGCAAGGGAAGAGGAGCTCTCTAGGTGGACATGACCAGTCCCGTGCAGGCAGGATGGTCTGAGTAAAGCTGCAAAGGGGGCATAAGGCAGGGCTGAAAAGGCCACTTATATGGGGGCGCCTGGGCGGCTCAGTTGGCTGAGTGTCTGACTCTTGGTTTTTGCTCAGGCCATGGTATCAGGGTCGTGAGATCGAGCCCCGCGTCAGGCTCATGCTCAGCAGACACTCTCCTTAAGATTCTGTCTCTGCCCCTCCCCCAACTCACTTGTGAGGAAATAAATAAATAAAAATAAATGAATCTTTGGGAGGAAAGAAAAGGCCCCGTACCTGCATTTGAATATCCTTGGAATTAATCACTTCCACAATGCCTACCACGTTGTCAAACACGAGGCCAAACTTCTTACAGTTGTCTAGGAAAAACAAAACAAAGCAAAGCTCCATTCAACATGCCCACAGCATGTTTATGCAAAGCGACCACAGTGACCAGAGGGGGCCCCCAGTGACCACCTGCGCCCCCGCCCCCACGCCCCCCAACATGCTGCCATACCGATTGTAATGGAGTTGATTTTTCCTTTTATCCGCAGAGTGGACTTGTTGCATTTGAAAATGTAAGCCACTTGTTTCAGTTCCGTCTCTGAAATCACCAGGTCATTCCTGTCCTCTTGGTACTCCTAAAATGAAAACACACGCACATACGGAATCTAAGGACGTACAGACGGATGGGGTCCCTGACATGCTGAAATTACCACGGGGTTCAACACTCATTACAGCTTTTCGATATGTTCTTTCCAAATCTTTTTTTTTTTTTTTTTAACAGAGCAAACCCCAGGTCTTCCTCTGTTATGGTAATGATGGGGATGGATGGAACCACGGCCTAGAAGGGCGTCAGGGTCCATCTGCAAACAGTCAAATATCAGGCACCCCGGCTGGTGGGGGAGGTGTGGGAACTTTCCATTAAGTCTCTATGCTGAATCTGGACTTCACGCTGCCACTTCAAAAACAAGCAGGGCAAACAGGCGGGGACGATGGCAGCATAAGCCCGTGGGTACTGTCACCCCAAGACAACCTTCCCAGGGACTCTGGTCCTCCAACTTCGGGGAAGCTCCCTGGACTGGCAGGAGGCACCAGCTTTCGTGCACATTTGAAGGGTCTCTGTCCTGTTCGCACAAAGGTTGAAAGTGCTGGGTGGTGCGGTAGGTTACGTTATTTCTTTGTCAACGGGACAGACGTCCTCCAACCAGAATGGAGCACAGGTTAGAAGTTTATGGAAAGAGTGGTCAAATAGAGACAGAAATAGAAAGGTGGGTGCTGGGCTGAGGGGAGGAGGGAATCGGAAGTGGTTACTTGAGGGGCACAAGGGTCCCGTTTTATAAGATGGGAGGAGTTCTCCGGCCGGCCGGGCTGATGGCCGCACAGCTATGTCAATGCACTTCATGTCCAAGGTCATTAGATACACTTAGATGTTAAGATGGCAAATGATACGTTTTGTGATTTTACCACAATTTAAAAAATAATTTTAAAACACTGCGGAAAACAATGTACAAAAAATAAGCAAAAAACACCAAAAACAAGTCAATGGAAGCTTTCAGAAATGCCCTGGTTTCTACTGTAGCCGGTGGCTTGCGTCTTTGTCACGTCTCTCAGAAACCCTTAAGACCTCAGTCAACGGTTCAGCCTTGGTAACCCTTCCACCTTAGTCCACGGTTTAGCAACGGTCCTTTCCCGGGAGCACGTCGGGAATAAAGAAGAAAGGGCTTCACTCACTACTCTCCATTTCTTTCCTTCCAACTCGAACACAGGAGCATGCTTCTGAGAAGAATGAGAGTGGGGGGCTCTGGGGCCTGGAGCGTGGCTTTTGGTAGGAGACGGAACTTGTCCTCCTTGAGCCCGTAGACTGGGATTCTTGTACGTCTTCTGGTCATCTGTGACGTGCCGGAGCCCTGGGTAGGTAACACATAGCCACGTGTCTTTGTATTTTATGCAAAGGGAAATGCCCCTCACTCCTTAGATCAATGTGATGCAAAAAGCACAAGGAATTTTGATAATTTCCTAACAGTCTAGTCTCAAGGTTAATGACAGGCAGAGTCCAAGACCTTATAAACATAGTATTAATTAGAAGCTCTGTAAACACTTTTTAAAATTGGAGGAACCTCTTCTTTAAGGAGATGACAGATAAAAATCCTACAAAAAGCAAAGCACATGGACAAAAGGGATGGCATGATTTACTTCTTTTCTCATGGCTAAATCATTCCCCAGGCATAACCTGCAAGGATACGGCATCCCAGCAAGTATACATCAGAGTACGGAACTGACTTTAGGGTTATGAATCCATTCTCTTACTTTGCAGATAAGGGAACAGCCCAGCCAACTGGAGCCAGAGAAAAATTTAGAATTTGGTGCTCTTAGCTCCTAGCCCAGTGCACAAGGACAACTGTAAAATAACTCCTATTACCTGTCTAAAGCAAAAATGCATTTGTATAAACCTTATTGTATAGAATGCATGTACATCCTGACATACTTTAAATATTGTATGATTTAAAACAAAACTGTTCATGGTGAGAACAGAAGTACTTTAGTGATAGAATTATTTGGCAAGTCTGTACACTGCCTGAGGACAGAGATGTGATTGTTTGACATTTTATTTCACTTTATCTTTTTATTTTATTTTATTTTTTAAATTTCACTTCATCTTAATGCCTTGGTTGTAGATGGGGCTGGAGCATCGGAGGCTTAAGTGGTGATGCAGTGCAGTGGTCCACATGGAACCCAGAGTCTCTGAGTTTTTCTTGCTGGTCCATGCAACAGCCCACTGAGCCCATCTGCTTCAAGGTGAAGAAGGCTGCAGGCTTCTGCTTTCCCAGCAGCTCCCTGTGTGTTGGGACGGGTATGGAATGATGCATTATGGGCTCTGGGGATCTGTGTGCCTGGAGCCAGAGGGAGACAGCATCAAGGTCCAGTTTTCTCACCTTTTGTAATTCCTTCTCCTTGATTAAGCTGGGCAAATAGAGCAGAGCGTGAAGGGGAGGGCTCCTCTCTTTTGCCTTCATTCTCAAAGAGTGGTGGTGGCCCGGGGGGAGGTGGAGGAGGAGGGGGAGGAGGAAGGCCAGGCCCAGGGGAGAGGACTGACAATGCGGATGCTGTCGAGGCTACTGGACCCTGCAGGAGAAAGAAAAGGGGAAGCGTTGCCTTCAGACTGATGCCCTCACTTGAGTTGGGATTTTGCTAACGTCACTCAGAACCTGTTACCGGTGAGGAAATGGGGTTCAGCATTCACAAGCGGGCACTGAGGGGGCACATCTGCGCATCCTGGGTCTGTTTGGGAGCTCGGGACCGAGGTGGGGATCTACCCTGGGAGTGGAGCATGACTGAGCAGTACAGCCCTGTTTGGAAACGGGGTTCATGCTGCCAACACAGGGGCAAACCAAGCCTCATTCCCAGGGTCCTGTCCAAAGCTCAGGAAGTGAAACAAACCAGCCTTGGCCAACTGAGAATTGTAAGAAAAATGCAGTCCAGCTGATAAGAGGATCTGACTTTCTGGGCCACTGGGAACTGCAAACACCAATGAGAGAGAGAGAGAGAGTAGTGGAAAATACTCAGTGGTTATTAGGTGTTTTTGAAACCTTTTGGAGCAGCCCAAGAAAGAGATACTCCAACTATTTCTCTGGAGCTCATTTTTTAATGCCTCGAACTGACCTTTAAGGAAGGGCCTCGTATGACCTGGACGCCCATCAGATCTGAAGGTGATCAGCGTCCAGGACTCACCCGATGGCTTCGTTCATCTGACGCTGACAGTGAACTGACTAGAACCCAAATCCTTTCTGAGCAAGAGCTATGCTTACTCTCAGTTTTGCTGCTGTGTGAAATTCAAATTTTTAAAAAATATATTTAATTATTTTAGAGAGAGAGAGAGGGAGAGCATGAGCAGGGGAAGGAGCAGAGGGAGATAATCTCCAGCAGACTCCCTGCCGAGCATGGAGCCCGACAAGGGTGCTAGTGGGGCTCAGTCCCACGACCCGGAGATCATGACCTAAGTCCAAACCAAGAGTTGGATGCTTGATTGACTGAGCCACCCAGATGTCCCATGAAATTCAAATACTGTTTTCAGTAGGAAGTTCTAATAAAGTTTACATGACAGTAAAAGGTGCTAGACAATAGAGGAACTTAAAACTAGTAGGATAGAAGCACACCTATGCCACAAACTTGAGTGAAACAGCATTTTACTTTACAACCTGTAGTAGAACAGTAGACCTATGATAAGGAATTATAAGTTAGATCAAGTAAAAAATGGTCAGGAAAAGTAGGGGCACCTGGGAGGCTCAGTTGGTTAAGTGTCTGACTTAAAAAAAAATTTTTTTTTTTGAGATTTTATTTTATTTGATGGAGAGAGAGATCACAAGTAGGCAGAGAGGCAGGCAGAGAGGAGGAAGCAGGCTCCCCACTGAGCAGAGAGCCCGATGCAGGGCTCGATCCCAGGACCTTGAGATCATGACCTGAGTCGAAGACAGAGGCTTAACCCACTGAGCCACGCAGGCACCCCCAAGCACCTGACTCTTGGTTTCGGCTAAGGTCATCATCTCAGGGTCATGAGATCGAGTCCCACGTCAGGCTCTGTGCTCAGGAAGAAGTCTGCTTGTGCGCACTCTCTCTCTCAAATAAATACAAATCTTTCAACAATAGTCAGGAAAATTAAAAAAATTCAGAGTGACAGAAATGTGGTTTAGGATCATATATTTCCAATACCAAGTACAAAATATAAAACATGTAAGTGCTAAATATTAACAAAGACAGCATATTCTTAATTTGCATGAACTCAGTGTTCCAAAGTATCCGTATCAGTAAGTTTTAATCTATAGTAGTTTCCAGTTCAAATAAAAAAAGTGCTATTTTCAAAGTACTTATTTAATGCTTATTAAGTGTAGAATTACTCTAAAGATAAAAGATTTTTCTCTTCTTCAGAATGCATGTCTTAAAAATGGAGTAGGCTGGAGGTCTCGTCTCCTGAAGTGATAATTTGTGATGTTTTCTTGTTTCTAAGGAAGACCAGCCTGACTCCAACAGGATCCTTGGGTCATGCAGAGAACCACTACCCAATTCCTGAGACTGGCCAATTTTTTTTCTTTTTAAAGTCTCTTAAATGTTCACTGTTATGTTGCTGGGGTGAAATTTGAGAATTTGCTCTGAATCATGAACAGTGTATAATCTAAGGTTTTGCACATCAAACAGTGTTCTGGTGCTCTGTTCCAGATGCTAGGAGCCCTCAAATATTACTTTTACCCCTAAACACATAATACAGGGAGTGAAAGGCCAGACCCTCTCCTCACATCTGAAACACCACAGCTTTCTAGTCCTCCTATTTTGAGGAAAGGAGAGAGGATACTGGCTTCTGTATCTTAGAATGATTGGGATGGTGCCCTGTTCTCAGAATCCAGAGTCTCTTTCCAAGAGCCATTAGGGGACACTGAAACCAATACGCCCCATATTCAACTTTCTGGAACTTTGATACCTTCAGAGGGCTGACCCGGGAACCAAACAAAGGATTTACTACAACAACGGTTGGCTATAAAAGCCAAAAACGAAGAGAACTCAAGAGAAGCTGAAACTCTCCACTGATTCTTCGTAGCTTCTGGCACATTCCTGCTGCCCGCCCAGTGAGGGCACAAAACGAGGCTCTGGTTTCCAAGCGGCTTAATAGTGAGTGCTCAGCCCCTCACTGCAGACAGCGTCCTCAAAAGCAAACTTGTTAGCCCTTCCCTTGACAGGATGCCGGGGGCTGTCCTTTGCAGTGCAACCTGTCTTTGCCTCTTCCTCCTCTCCTCCTCCCACCCTGGATATCGCAGCACAGGGTACCAGAGACTTCTGCGTCCTCCCGAGGGCCAGCCACACCCACTGGAATCACAGCCCAGCACAAATCTTCAGGCGTCCCATGTGGAAAGAGAGGGAAGATGGTCGGGGAAGGGAAGGGAGCCAAGAATTCTGGGAAGTCTAGTGTGTGCCAAGTGCTGACTATTTCCATTCATTTAACAGATAATTAATGCTCAGGATAGGACAGGCTCTGTGCCAGAGGTTCCCAAACCTGTGGGAACATTAGAATCATTGAGGGGATCTGTTAGAAAGCCCAGCCCTCATCCCAGAAACACGCTCTGGGAAGGTGCAACACGGGCATCTGCATCGTTTGAAGCTCCCGAGGTGATTCCAATAGGCAGTCAAGTGTGGGAAGAATCATTCCCGGCTACGTGCTGAGATTAATCTTAGTCCTCATAATAATATTACTAGGACTGTCTTGAAATCCCTATTTAACTGAAGACAAAGCAGGAAATGAGGAAGACTGACCCAACAGTAAACGGCCAGTAAATGGCAGAGACAGAATTCGAGCACATATCTGCTTGATTCCAAAGTCTTCTTCAGCAAAATCCTGTATATTATTTTCAGGATTGAAGAAAAAAGTCACTAGTGTAATTTAAGAACCAGAGACATAGGCTACCTCAGCACATACGTAACGTGTTGCTCTTGGGGCTTTGGCTCAAAGACACATGACGGAAGTATGGGGGGTGTTGTCATAATGGGTTAATTTTTATCTCCACTATGCCTTGCTCTGTTCCACTAATGCCCCAGCGGCTGGCCGAGCTCCGGCAGCCAACTCTGGAACCAGGACCCCATATCCTATAGAGACATAGGACGTCTTGGGTGTTGAAACCCACATCTCAGCATCAAGTCATTCTTGGTATGGGTTTGTTGTGACTCTATGCCGTTGGTTCGAGAAACTGGCCTCTTGCCTTATTCATCTTTCCTGAATACCTGGTTCCATTAATGGGGCATTTGAACCCAAATCTTGGTTCCTTGACTAATGGTCAAGTTTTTCTGGGTTGGGGACCTGACCTCTCTCTCTGCTCCTCCCCCCACTCGCTCGCTCACTCTCTAAAATAAATAAAATCTTAAAAAAAATACCATTTTGATATGTTGATGAACCAAGTCTCAAATAACTTAGAGCCCCAGACTGGAAACAAACGAAAACACATTTTACTAAAGTCATTGTTAACAATGACCTGCAACTTAAAAAAAAAAAAAAAAAGAAAAAAAAGAAAAAGAAAAGCAGCATAGTTGTGACTTTAAATGGCCATATTCAAGGTGCAAAAGTTCGCCTCTGTTGCAGCAAGAGCACAGCACAAAACCTAGAAATCTGGTTTTGAGAGCTATCAAGATTAATTTTGAGAGCAGATGTTTGATTTATACTTTTTTGGGGGGGGATGGACAATGACTATCTGTGAATCTCTTCCTCTAAATTAATTTCAACTGTCCTGGGAACAGCTGCTTCCTCTGATTTTAAATATACGAACTATAAAATAATGAAACCATTGTATGCAGCATGTGGAAGGCTTGTAATGTTTTGGATATATATGCCATATATATAACATGCAATACAGTTATGTACTAATATACACTGCATTTTTTTCATTAAATGTTACTTGAAATTAGCTACTAATCATTTTATTACTTTAGGATTTAGATTTTATTCTGCAGAAGAAACTACTTCTGGTTCTTAAATGAAACCTCCTTATTATTTTGCTGGTGGCAATTATGGATGTCATTAACAACCCATTTTTATCCCCAATGGCAAACCATTGCCGTAGTGATCTAGTTAGTTAGGTTACAGTCTAGCTTTGGATCTAAATAATTTACAAAAAAGATTCTACTCCGATTATCCATTTTGCTAAATTTGTAGAAAGTGGGTCTAATGGGGGTACTTTTAGAGGTTTTCTATCTTTGTGAAAAATTAGGCAAAAAAGTGAAACATAGCTGCTTAAGTAAAAAAAACAAAAAACAAACTACCAACATCATCTCTGCTTGTCTGTCTCTTGGCCCTAAGTTTTCCATCTAAGATATCTCTGCTTCATAATTGATTTGTTTGGGGACACCTGGGTGGCTCAGTTGGTTAGGAATCTGCCTTCGGCTCAGGTCATGATCTCAGGATCCTGGGATTGAGTCCTGCATTGGGCTCCCTGCTCAGCAAGGAGTCTGCTCTCTCCCTGCCCCTCCCCCTACTCATGTGTTCTCTCTCTCAAATAAATAAATAAAACCTTTAAAAATAAATAAATAAATAAATTAAATAACGGATTTGGAAATTTTCAAATCTTACACTTTAATTCCAAGATTTTTCA